TGGATCGGCTGGTGCTGCATCCGTAAATGCGCATTGCGTTTTGCCTTTGCTCTTCTGCTGGCTTCCCTACATTCGCTCGGTTTGTTCTCGGTAAGTCTGTCCTTGGGCGTCTTCATTGCCACCCCTCGGTCTCTCGTCCTTGCCTTCTCGCTTTGCGAGCCCTCTCACTCAGTGATGCGTCAGCGAAACACAGGTCATAAGCAGAGAGAAGACGGCTCCCATGATAACCTAGACGGCTCGTCAGTCGAATTCGTTTGTACTGCGAACCGTTGGTTCTACTCAGCGCGCAAGGGGTTAACGAGCGATATAGACCCTGAGCTTCCCAATAGTGCCCGAGTGATGCTAAACGCAGGACAGGGCGTAGGTCCGAAGCTCCATTCACAGCACCGCTGTCCGCCTTTGGAATGGGTTCGCCGCAATTTCCATTGGTGTCACTGTGATGCATCGGGTCACGACTCCAGAGAAGATGGCCTTCCTCCGCATCTTGTCGGATCCTTTGTGACCACCTCCAAGTGCTGACCGCGCGCTTGTTACGCTTCCCCCTGAACCGTGCATCTCGACTGTTCCGCCTGTTCGAATCGTGGCTTTTCCCCTCCTTGCTACGGGTACTGATGACCCGCGAGTTCAGGCCACATTATATCCTTCTCCAAAGACGGCTTTGCCTCAAAGGAGGCGGTATTGAGGGCGAGGAATGCTGTGGCTCTGGTAATAGCAGTTGTACTGAGAGGGTAGCGCGATAGACATCGGTAAGACCATCCAGCGAGTCGTGAGAAATCGCTCAAAATCGGAGAGTGGCGGTAATCATACTTAAGTGAAGTCGGCCTATTCTCGCGGTCGGTGATACTCTACATCCACAAGCCGTTCGTTGGATCAATCTAGAGCGGGGGGTTCGAATGTTGCAGACTTAAAAGCCTGAACGGGAATAATAGAACGGCGTGTAGATAGATTCAGTGGACGCACTTAACATCAAACTCGTCGCGGATGGCGCTTACGAGCCATGCGTATTTTGGCGCAGGCCATATTTTCCTTTCGTAGCTGTGCGTTAATCCCGTTCGTTTCCTTGGGAGGTTAGCAGCATTGTTACAGGCAGTACCGTTCTGCTACGTTAGCCTAACGCCCGAGATCCTCGAACCTCCCGCCTCCCTCGCGTTCAAAGACGTTATGCTTGTTAAGGCTACTACCTCTGTATCAATTGGAGCGTGTTCCAAGAGAGCAGTCTCGTCCGCCGCTTGCGTTGTGGCCTCGGACGACGCATTAACCGGTATCCACAATGTGTTGCCGTCGCTGTGCTGATCTCTGTTGCTCACAACAATCTCAAGATCGTTGGTGGAGATCGTGGCATCGCAGCGGTATTAATAACGTCCTGGAGGATTTGTCTCTTGAGAGACCTCTTGTAGAAGTGCGATCCCATATGCGCTATGCTTCGTCGCCATCGGAGTCAGCACATCGGACGCTATATTGAGTCATTAACCAATGCCTGAGTTCTCTTACGCCGTGGTACTTGGCTTTGGTGCCGGTTGTCCAATCAATAAGATGTTCGAGGTCCGCGCTAGCGTCCCTCAGAAGCGACTTCGTTGTCGAAAGAGTTAGTTCATAACCTCGCTTACGGCTTTCGAAGTCTCGCTCTTCCTTGTGCATGATCTCGCTCGGGAGAAAAGCGAAGGCTGGCACTGGACACATTAACCAATGCTTACATTCCCTCCTGCCACCGTGCAGCCGCACGAGAGGGGCTGGCGGACCGGCTGCGAGTGCGTGGGTGCGGCGCAGTGCCCGAGCGGGTGGTGGCGTTCTCCCCTAGTCATGTCAGTAGGCGGTTCGCAACCGAATCGTAGGGCAGGTAGGGCTTACGAAGTCTGGTCCTGCAACTCCGTTGCTCGTCGTTTGGGTGGCATGCGTCCCGTTGACGAGCATCTGCTCCTGCAGCATGAGAGCCGTTATGTCGGCGGACGAGGAAGGACGGTTAAGCCGGAGACCCACCGTCTTGCCGGTGCGTCGCAGGTGCATCTCCTGATGAGCAAGGTAGCGGTTGAGCGACCGCTGCGCATATGCAAGTTGGAGGCCCGCCTCCAACGCGGGCACATCGTACAGGACATCTTCGCGGGTCAGCTCCTCCACGCCGAGATGGTCTCGCAGGCCCTGCAACGCTGTCTCGTAGAGTAATGTGGTCGAAAGACGTCACCGTGTCGCTTGCCTTCGAAATATTCGCGTGCGATATGACAGACGAGGCCGAGTAGGTCGAATCATGCGCAGACTCTCTCGCAGCGATTGTGTGGCTCCTTATTGTCCTTTATCTCGGAGTCTAACGGAATCGCGGTATCTCGGGCGGAGTACATGAGGCCTTGGAAGATCGCGTATGCGGTGTCGCTGGGAGTTGAGCAATTGAGCGCAAGAGGCAATGTTCAACTCCTCGCTTTGTCGTTATGCTGGGATTTAATACTCGCAGTAAGCGAAGAGGACTACGGCCTCGGCAGTGGTATTCATGAAGTCTTCGAAGCTTTCGACTGACTCGAGTGTGCTGTCGCTGGGAGGGAAAGCTGGGCGATCGGTCGCATCGACGGATGACTATACTCTCTTCTCGCCTTTTCGCTTGCCCTTGATCTACATACGGTGTCGCTGACGGTGTTCACGAAGCCTCGGGGGGCCATGTGTAGAGCTGCTGAGGATAGTACTGCAATCGCACATCGTTAGGGACGATCACAGGACCACCCATGCGATCGTGTAAGGTCTTGGTTTCCCGCAGTTGGCGGGGAATATCACCGCAGCGTTGCTGCAGTCTGGGAGGCTCTGATATGTGATCTCGCCGAAGGTGATAGGGCCATCGAGCGTTGTGGTGATTCGATAGTAACAAAAGCGTCTTGGCACATCGTCGGGCCACATCCACAACTGCCGCGACCCGATATGCCTTAGTCGACTCCCCGGCGCCGTGGTTCTTGCCAGCGTTCTCGGGAAGGAAATACCCCGGCATCGAACGTCTGTGTAAGAAGGTTGGCGTCGCCGATGGAAAATCTTCTCAGCTTCTTGATATCCGGCGACGCTGTGCAGCGGCATCTGCTACCTCCCGTCTTCCTTTCAGAGTCTGCTCGCTGTCGAGTAACTGAAGCTCCACCGCGGCATGAATCGACTTTCCTCGTGGGAAAGATGCTGCCGCTGCGATCCTTCAAGTCCGTGTACAGCTCGCATCGCCCGACTTTGCCTTCGGAGGAAAGTCGTTATTGCGAGAACACAATGTAACCCTGAACCGCTACGATGGTCAGGTATGTCATCTCGCAAGATTGCAACGCGCGACCGTGTATCCTGTTAGTAAGACTTACCCCCTTCCAAGACTCCACTACGACAGCCGCTATGCTCGCTTATTAGGTCATGAACCGAAGCTGCGGTAATGCCCAGGGACTGCCATCTTATTCGAAACAGCTCCTCTCGCCCTGCAAGTATATCCCATAAGACTGACTACCGTAGATTCTCCCTCCTCGTCAAATCGAATCGAATGGAGTATGGACGGATATCTCACGGCCACGGCTCGAGGGAGTTTCGGACAGGGTCCTGGGTGGATGTCAGTCATTATGCTGTTCAGCTGAAGTTACAACTCGCGCCGGGGTGGGACGGTAGACGGTAGACGGTAGCTGTTAATAGCGAACCATCTCCCTCGGCTCGGATCCACGGAGTTGCAAAATGCCCTAGCATAGTACTGATCTTCTTTCAGGCGTCGCTACACCGTGACTTCTGGCGGCACTTGAAGCCTGGAGGTGGGAGAATTTGAGGATTTGGTCTTGACTGTTGACTCTCGACTACTCCGAGGGACCGCCGGACCGGGTCAGCACTTAGCAGCTAGAGGATGGCATATATGCGGCGACGCAAACGGGAGTTCAAGATTTACGCGATCGCTTCGCGAGCTGAACGTCGAACGTAGCGTGCCCAGTTAGAAGAAGCGTTGAAGTCCTAAGATGAAGAATATTGTCGAGAAGATACGAGGTGAAGTCCAAGCTGACGAGGGAAGATTCGTATAGCGCAAACTTTGATCGACTTCACCTCGTCCCGCTCATCTCAGCAGGGCTTCACCGCCTGCCTGTCACTTCAGCTCAGCTCTAGGAGGGGACCGGGGAATACAGACAAATTGGTCTGAGTCGCTGTCGGGTTGGGTTCAATCGCTGTCGGACTGCTTTGGATTGCTGTCGGTGGTGTCTGAGGTCGAGCTGAAGTGGGCTGCCCGCATAGTGGCGGCGGCTGTAGCGGCCGAGGCCGAGCTAAGCAAGAAGGATATCCAAACCCAAACCCAAACGCGGGCGGTGGCGGTGGTATAGCACGCGCTGAGGCGCAGCTGAACCAGAATCATCAAGGGGCGATGGTAGTGCAAGAGAGAGACCGCGGAGGTCTCCGAAAGGCTCCGTGAGCTCGCATCGGTCATGTAAGCGGACTCGCGCGGAGGAGTCGGGGTCGGAGTAGAATTCCGAGTAGTTTATGAATCATGTTCTCGGGCGCTGCTCTCGGCGTGCGCTACGCTACGCAGGCGGAAATGATCTCGCGGTGGGTTGAATACGAAACGTGGTGAGGATCTAGAATGGGTTCCAGCTGGCCTCGAGAGGAGGGAGGGAAAGGGAGGCGCATACCTCATGGGGTCTGTGCCTGAATTCGAGAAGCGCATCTCGTGGTTATCATACATTCTCACATTGTAGAAACTGTACTGGGTATCTCTATATCTCCAAGCCAGGACCGGAAAGCCGCTCCGCACATACGCCGAATTTTCGAAATGTCCCGCATCTCTCCGACCAATTTCCTCGTGTGTCATTCTGCTTCTCCGCTGCCATGTTGACCTCGAGCGCTGAGAGCAGCGTAGCAGGCTCCTGGTCAACCTCGCGGTCCCTCCATCGTTGAGCGTTGAGATTGCTCTTCCTCGCACTCTGAAGCACTTCCCCTGGTCCGCGCGCTGGTCCTCTTCATCACGACCGCTGGCCCGGCTCCCGGCTTCCCTTCATCACGACCTTGCTGTCCATCATCCCCACAAGCTATGTCCGATTTGTAGCCGCACTCTTCACGTTGATGTTGTCCTCGTCGTCTTCCTCGACCACAGCGGACAAGTTGTTAAGCTTCCTCTTCCTGCTGCTGTTCGCCGTCTCGCGGGCCTTGGATGAAGCGGCGGGCACCTTGCGCTGGCTGCGGAGCGTGCGCGGGGATGGTTCGGCGGCAGGTGGGAGGGGCGTGGGCGTCTCGCGCTCAGTGACCGCAGTGCGAGGCTGGAACCCGCTGGGCAGGACGCTCTCGACACCGGACACTTCTGCATCGGAGTCGCTGTCGACAGGAGGTGCAGCTGGAGTCGCTGGCGCTGGTGCTGTCCTCGTCGCAACCGGGCTCACTTCAAGGACCTGCGGCTCCTCGACTGTCTTCCTCGGGTATTTCTTCTTGGAGTATGTCTTGGGTGCGGGAGTCTTCCTCTTTGTGGATGTGTTGGGCGCCGAGGTCTTCCTCTTGCTCGGGATGGCGGGCTTCTCGGGAGGGGCTGAGTCAGGTGACTGCCTCGAGGGCGCAGATGCGTCAGACGGCCGCGTTACCACAATCTCATCGGAATCGTATTCATCATCGGGCGGTTGGTTCTCGGTCTGGTCTGTCGTCACTCGCTGTGGCTTTGGTGCGTGGGATTGCAGCTTGATGTGGTCGGACGTCGCCGGAGAAGAGGAACGCGTGTTGGTGGAGTGCGGGCGCAGCGGAACCCTCTCCGTGGGCTGCTTCACCACAATCTCGTCGGAGTCGTAATCATCGTCTGGCAGGTGATGCTCGATGGTTTTGAGCGTTGATGCCATGTTCGTCGGGCGTGTGATGACTCGAAATAGATGGTGGGTAGCATGCGCGGGCGCGTTGTGGATGGTCGCTACGGTGGATTGTGAGCTATAACGAGATATTAGCTGCTAAGCTCGTGCGCTAATAATGCATACGCGGCTAATAAGACTTTAAGCGTGAGATGTGCAATAGAGTGGGAATACGAAGAGTGGTGCGATGCGTAATGTAGTAGAATTAATAATAGTGTCGTAGTTATAATTGTTATTATTATTACTTTCCGCGTACGCGTTAACGGTAGGTAAGACTGCCTCGGTAACCTATAGCCGGTAGCGGGCGAGCCCCTAGACTAGTAATAGATATTAACCTCTAATAATATCTCTTTTTAATACTATATATACTTATAACCCTTTTATAAGGAGCCGAAGGCGGGGCTATACTAGTTATATAGAAGAGACTAATATTCGTATTATTTCGGGGAGTTAAGTCGTATTCTCGAGGCCTTTATCTAGACCGCTAGGGTACTATACTAGTAGCTTAGATAGTAGATCTATATATAAGCCTTAGAAAGATTAGTATTTTAGATTCGATTACTAAGAGCTATATATAGTTAAATATTAGGAAGCCTATACCCTTATCTTACGTAGAATAACCTTATATCGGTTACAACCTAGTACTACTATAGTATACGGTTCCTACCTTTAAGTAGGTAGTAATTCTAGATAGTAATTACCTTAGTAAAGATTAGGGCTAGCGCCCTTTCCTTCTAAGGACTAGCGATAGAAGAAGCGAGGTTAGTAAGAGAAGTTACTTACTACTAGATAGGAGTTATACGGGCTCTTAATAGTAAAGGTAGCTGCCTCCTACCTATATAGTCTACCTCTAACTCTTCTCTCCCTCCGCTTTTCCTTCTAGACTTCTTTATTATTATCCTATCTACTATTATTACTATATTACCCCCTTTCCTACCTTTCCTATTATAGATTTACGTCTTCCTAACGTAGAACCCCTTCTAAGTCGTAAGCGACTTCTTAATTTCCTCTCGAAAATTACTTCTTCTTTTATTAGTAATATAGAACTACCCTTACGGCTACCTAGTTATTAGCCTTCCTTTAAGTATCTATAAGATATTAACTTATCTATACTACTCGTACCTCTCTCTTAGGTTAGGTTATCGTAGCTTTACCTTAGAAGGATTAGTCCGAGAATTAGTAGTATTAGTCTACCTCTTACTTAAATACTCCGAATTATCGGTTATAGCTAGATTTACGTATAAGATTAACCGACTTAATCCCTAGTTATACTTTACTAACTCCGTTAGATATAGTAAATATAGTATACCTATTTAATTCTAAGTATCTTAGGCCGGAGAGTATATCTTCGGGCGCCTTAAGAGAATAAGTTTAGCGTACTAGAAATCTAACTAGTAAACACCTATATAGAGACCCTTAATTCCCGCCCTTCGATAGTAGCGAGTATAGTAGTAAAGACTAATAATCGCTACTAGTACTACGCCTATTACCTTTCCCTTAGGGTAAAAGAATACTAAGTTTTACTACGTAGAACTCCTAATTACCGGTATCTTAGTATTTAGAGAGCTAGCTACTTAGATTACTATCGGAACGAGATCTACTATAGATTTAACTATACCTATAGGCATAATCTAAGCCTAGCCTCCTACTAAGATTTAACCTAGTACCCGTACCGGAAGCCCTAGGCGTCTCTACTAGATCTATAGTTATAAACTCTAATTAGGAACAATAAGGTAGCTCTTCTACTTTATCGAGTACTAGTCTAGCTACTACTTTATATAGATAGGTATTAGTAGAGCCTAGTATTTAGTATACGGATCCTAGGTTTTACCGAACTTTATTTATACCTTTATAGTTAATAAGCTTAAATAAGACTAAGATACTATATAAGGATTACCTAATATTCGGTAGCTTCGCTAGGGAGAACGTAAAGGAATAGGTTTACTACTATTATCTAGCTACGTTTACTCGAGCTTAGATATTCGTAGGTAATACTACTCTTTAAGTATTAGCTAAGAAGTATTATATTAACGATTATATTACTTAGGGTAGCCTAGCCTATTAGTATATCCGTATAGAGCTATTAGCGGAGAAGCGCGAGAACTTCGACGAGATACTTACTACTATTAAGAACCGCTTTAGCTAGGTACTATAGAAGAATATATATTAACTCCTCTATAATTTTAGTTCTCTTAAGTAGTAGTAGAGTAAAGCGAATTCTGCCTACGTAGACCGTAGTCGTATTATCTTTAATAGCTTAGGTAAGGATATAAAGGATATAGTTATTACTTAGTTTATAGAAGGTATTATCCCCGATCTCTAGAAGTAGCTCTACTAGATAGAGGTATTTAAGATATATCGATCGGGTTAGCTACCGGAGTTCGATACGATTATAATATATATATATTAGGGAGATAATAAGGAGAGTATAGTATCTCTATCGAAGCCGCCTACTAAAGAAGAGTAAGATAAGAAGTTTTAGATAGAGCTTACTAAACGCTCTAGCTAAGTAATAGTACTCGGCCTTAAGAAGTTCTTCTATAACTATAGTATTACTTAGTAGCTACCTTAGTAAGGATACTAGGTTCTATAATAGGCCTAGCCTTAGTAGCTATAGATTTAAGCTCTACCTACTTAGGTAACGTAGTAGATAGCCCCGGTGTCTTAGCTATCCTATCTACTACTAGGCTAGGTATCTAGTAATTATAGAGGACTACTAGCTCGTTTCGGGGGTAGTAAACCTACTAACTCGTATAGTAATAATAATAATAATTCCTATAACGTAGTACCCGGCTAGGTAATAGAGCTAGAGAGCTTCTATACTAGTATAACTAGTATACGTAAGATCGAACTCGACGCCTATCCGAGCGTCTCCTACTATAAATATAGTAGTTAAGGTTACTATACCGATAACCTACGATATACTAGTAGTAGTAGGTATTAGAATAGTAGGAAGCCGACTTAGGGTTAGTAGCGAATAATAAACGAGAATCGTAATAGGTAGATTACGGATAAGGGAGTACGCCTTAGCCGAGCTAATATTAATACTATTACGGTCGAGAATATAGTCGACGAGAAGATACTAGTTAGCGAGCTAGATACTATCTAGCTTTAGGGTAGTATAATTAATAATAACTTATTTGCCTACTCTCTTTCCTACTATCTTAGAACTATATACTATACGAATAACTCCCTATCTCCGATATCTCCTATAGGTACCTACCCGATTCGAGCTATTAACTATAAAGGTTCTTAGCGCTCCTGTTTGCCTATATCTATTAATAGATAATACTAAGAAATAAGAGAGCGTAGTTAGCTAGTATCGCTAGAAGATAGTAGGATATATTTGCCCCTACTATCTCCTATAATCGAGAGAGAGAGAGCTCCGTTACCTATTATATTACTAGGCGAAGTTAAGAAATCTTACCTACTCCTACGATAGAATATATTACGTAAGAACTATAAGTTTGTCCTAGAGTTTATTTCTCGCTAATAAATAATCGACTACTTAGTCTAAGTTAACGAGTATAGATCGTTACCGGATAATTTACTAGATACCTCTATAAAAGGCCGAAGGTAGAATAGCCTCTATCGCTAGACAAAGTTAAGCGCTAGCCGGAAAAAGGCTACTTATAATCCTATTCGAGAGATAAAGGGCGTAGAAGTAGACTAGTAGAAGGAATTTGCCTATACTACCCTACCCTCTAGGATTACCTAGGCGTAGGTATTTTCCTACTCTCCTAAAATTACTACGTAAGTAATAAAGTAACTTATACGAGAGCGTAAGTAGTAGCGGATAAGACTACGTAATATATAGGTAGCGTAGGTTAACGACTTAGATCGAGCTAATACTTAGCGAGTACGTAAGGTTATAGGAACTTCGGATTATATATTAATATTACCTTATAACTATATTCTCTCTACGGGAATATCGACTAAACCGGATATATACTCTCCTTACTAAGTCGCTAAGATTAACTTCGTAAAATAGTATAATTCTATACTACCCTAACCTATAGCTATCCTAGTTATAAAGATACTCGAACTATTATAGGCCCGCGCTCTTATATTATCTGTAGCGTAACTGCCGAAATTACTATTAGTAATAAAGGCGGCAATAATAAAAGAGTATAAATATATCTTAGAATATACGTATATACTTAAGTAGGTAGAATATAGCGATATAACAATCTATAATTATTATACGAGAGTAGCGGTATTATACGAAGGATCTAAGAAATTATAGAGTATAGTATACTTTATAGAAGATATACTCCTAGATAGAGAGGCTATAGTAAATATTATACCGATAGTAATAGTCTATAAGTTAAACCTCCTACGTTATAGTATATTAGTATAGAAAACTCTATAAGGAATAGGAGGAACCCTATATAAAGCCTACGAGTTTATAGAATTTATAATTTAGCTCGCTAGCCTATATTTTAAAGTACGCGCTTAGTTAATACTATATAAGGCCTTGTTCTCTCTCCTTTTAGGTAGAGAATTCCTATAGTAAGCCGCTTACCTTAAGGACTACTAACTATAAGCTATCTACGTATATAATAAAATAGGAGCGTTCCTAGTACCTAGGACTTTCCCCCTATATAATAATATAGAGCCTATATTATATTTAGAGGCATAAGTACGTATAGGTATAGTAAAGGAGTATAATAGGAAAGTTAATCGAACTAATAGTAAGAAGTCTATAGTAAGAACTACTATTAAGATATTAGGAGCTCTATCTAGTCGCCTAGGACATAAATAAGGCAGACTATTATTATTAAATAATAAAGGTAATAACCTAGTATCCGTAATAGCTATATAAGCTTTATCCGTAATAAGTAATAATAGCTATAATGTCTCCGATAATGTTCGACCGAGCTATATAAGTAAGGATAAAGAATGTCGCTAGTCTAATAGGGGAGAGCCCGAAGATTTCTATAGTAGATCTATAGCTCCCTTAGTTATAGCTAGCGGGCGAGAAGACTCGATAA